ACACGATGCGAATTTAACCTGATCGGGGGTGCGTTTCCCGTGTCAATACGATGCTGCAACAACGTCGTTCGACTCGCGTCGTATTTCCCTGAACTGAACACATCTTTAAATTCCACTAGCAATGCATGCAAACTCGACCGTTGCACAGGCGATAACTCTGGGTTTTGTTTGTAAAGATCCCTTAACCATTCCGGATCGTCCTCCTCCCTTGACAACATTTCATCCTGTCCCGTAGCAAAACATGTTTTTGTTTCTGGACCCGGCGCACCCGTTGCGTGTGCCAACGTAGTGCCCCCTTGAATAACAACCTCTTCGTGCCCCGCGTTTACAATTTGAATGAAAGGATCGCAATATGTTGGTATTATGGTCAAAGCCCCTACCACAGTGGGCATTCTCGATACAGCATTTGAGGGTGTCAACAGCACTCCCTCCTGCAGCTCATCCCAAGGCAATTCCTTCTTTAACCGTAGCAGTACCAATATTTGCGATGCAGGCGGGACGCGGACGGTGCGGCTCACCACGGCCTGCACCACAGCGTTCGCCACCGCAAATTTCGAAGGCGTCCCCAAAAATTTCATACATCTCCCCGACAGTAATTCCAAACAACCTTTTTCCACTGAAATCTTAATTGGCATCTTTTGCAAGAAATCCGTGGCCAACAAACACGGTACCGCCAAGGCCATTGAAACCAAAACACTTCTCGTCACAATCACCTCCCCAATTTGAATTGTCGCAACCACGCAGCCCATAATGCCCAAACTACCCCCGTTTGCCGCTACGCATGGCCCTTCCACTGGCCCCAACGATCCAGGCGACGTCGGCAGCGACCGAAAAGTTTGCAACGAAATGAGAGTCGCCGACGCCCCGGTATCTACAATAACCCGTACCATAACACCTTGAATGCATGCCATCACATCCGACGATCCCGGCGCGGCCCGCAACACACGATGTACCAACGCACCCCACGTATCCCGGCCATGCGTACTATCCGAACCCGATGAATACGGGTGAGATGACGCGGATGAGTGATGTGGATAGGGCGGCCTTCTTTTTGAATGCATCTCGACTCACCCGGGATCCTTGGTCTTGGGGGAACCGCCCGCTGTAGTTGTTCGGCGCCCATGGAGGACCACCTCTCCGTCTCCAGCAGTCGCGGGCGAGATGACCCCTCCGCCCGCACTCGTAGCATGTCCGATGCACGCTGTCTCCATATACCCCGGGACGACGCTGTCGTTCTCCGGTCGACACCCCGGCCGCCGCTGCCATCGGCGGCGTCTCGTCCACCACCACCGCCACCGTGCTCCCGGCCCCGGCAGGGGTCGTCAGCGACGGCTGCGCCACCGCCGCCGCTGGCTCGTCTTGTATGTCAAGGTTGACTTGTATGTTCCTGGCGATCAGCAACGACACGTCGTCGTCATCATCCTTGTCCGGGAGCAACAAGACGACTGTTAGCTGCTTCGCCAGCTGTAGCATCTTCTCTTGCAGCAGGGAGTCCCAGCCCTCCTAGTCCATCGCCGGGTACGCAACCTAGGCGAGGGCCAGCAAGGCGCTGCGGAATGACAGGGGGGACTCCGTGGCCTCCCGTTTCCTCTGTTGAAATCGACGTTTGGCGACCGACCATGGCTCGTAGACTTTCCTCATTGATGCAATAGCACCGTCCAATGTTTTTCTGACAGCGGCAGGGAGTCCGTTAAAAGTCGCCAAGGAGTCATCATACAATGCCGTTGGCAGTGCTCGTAATGCGGCACTCTCCGTCCAATTCAAGGACTCGTAAGCCGCACCGAATCTTCGTATGAACGCCGTCCAATCTCTCACTTTGGCCTCAAATCGTTGTACGTGTAGCCGTCGTGGCGGTCCCGCCGACTGGTCGTCTTCGTCGTCAGAATCTTCCAACCGCTCCAGCTGAGCGGCAACCTCCGGCGGTAGACCCGGTACGGATAGTTGAATGCGGTTCTCCGTCAAGAAGTTCCGGAACTCCTCCGACAACGTCTCCATCCTGGCCTCCCACTGGGTCATGAGGACTCGCCAATCCTCTGGCGATCCCGGGCCTTAAGCACCACCCGAACCGCTGTCCCTGTCCGGAGTACTGCCGGCCATCTAGCCGGGCTGTACATTGTCGTTGTCGCTGTCGCCGCCCGAGTCCACTGGCACATTTGTTTTCTTTACCGCTTTTTTGACATCGTGGCGTGTTCCGTACTTTTTCTGACACCAAATGTAGTGCCGTGAATTTACTCGGACGACAACCGCCTTTCTTCCACCGTCACTTTTATTTCCATCGTTCCGCACACACTATAATTTCTCCTCTCCGCGCTCCGCCAACTCGAACACTCGATTCCCCTCAGCACCGTCCGCTCATACTCCTTGTCTTCCCACACACAGTGGTTCTCTCTCTATCTCCTCACACACAGTGACTCGTCTATCTCTTCATACGCAGTGACTTTATCTATCTCCGCACACACAGTGACTTGTCTATCTATTCACACACAGTGACTCGTCTACCTCTTCACACACAGTGACTTGTCTATCTATAACTCTCCCTGTACCTATCTCTCCCGTAACTACCCCTCTGCTAACGCTAACTCTCCCTATCGCTATTTACTGTCCTTTGGGTTCGGCTCTCAATCTATTCTTCCCTAACATTTGCCGGCTCTCCTCTTCGCATCTCTCGCTGCTCTCTCCACCTCTCGCCAGCGACTCCCCAACAACAACTCAACTCCCCGTCCAAATCACCTAGCGTTTTATCCCCTTTCCAATCAGCCTTAATTAATTGCCACGTGTCTCGCTGGCATTTTTCCGCCAGCTCGCACCTGTCCAACGGTCCAGACTTCGTGACGCCGCCACTTAACGCTAACAGCCTCTCGACCAATCACAGCCCTCGTGCCATGACTCCCTTAATTACTTCGGTTTGTTTACGCCACCCGTGACTCCACCACCTGCTCGACCTTATGTGACCCACACTGCTTGTATGTCTGTATGTACTGTATATGGCCAATTTACCCATGCGTATCTTTTACTCCACTACACAGGTAACAAGCTGATATTAGGAGCACACTCTTAAAGAGAGTGCTCCTAATCTCACCTTGTTACCTGTATAAGACACCTGTCCACAGAAGCAATCAATCAGATTCCAAACTCTCCACCATGGCCAAGACCAAAGAGCTCTCCAATGATGTCAGAGACAAGATTGTAGACCTACACAAGGCTGTAATGGGATACAAGACCATTGCCAAGCAGCTTGGTGAGAAGGTGACAACAGTTGGTGTGATTATTCGCAAATGGAAGAAACACAAAAGAACTGTCAATCTCCCTCGGCCTGGGGCTCCATGCAAGATCTCACCTCGTGGAGTTGCAATGATCATGAGAACGGTGAGGAATCAGCCCAGAACTACACGGGAGGATCTTGTCAATGATCTCAAGGCAGTTGGGATCATAGTCACAAGAAAACAATTGGTAACACACTACGCCGTGAAGGACTGAAATCCTGCAGCGCCCGCAAGGTCCCCCTGCTCAAGAAAGCACATATACATGCCCGTCTGAAGTTTGCCATTGAACATCTGAATGATTCAGAGGACAACTGGGTGAAAGTGTTGTGGTCAGATGAGACCAAATGGAGCTCTTTGGCATCAACTCAACTCGCCGTGTTTGGAGGAGGAGGAATGCTGACTATGACCCCAAGAACACCATCCCCACCGTCAAACATGGAGGTGGAAACATTATGCTTTGGGGGTGTTTTTCTGCTAAGCGGACAGGACAATGTCACCGCATCAAAAGGACGATGGACGGGGCCATGTACCGTCAAATCTTGGGTGAGAACCTCCTTCCCTCAGCCAGGGCATTGAAAATGGGTCGTGGATGGTTTTTTCCAGCATGACAATGATCCAAAACACACGGCCAAGGCAACAAAGGAGTGGCTCAATAAGAAGCACATTAAGGTCCTGGAGTGGCCTAGCCAGTCTCCAGAACTTAATCCCATAGAAAATCTGTGGAGGGAGCTGCAGGTTCACGTTGCCAAACGTCAGCCTCGAAGCTTTAATGACTTGGAGAAGATCTGCAAAGAGGAGTGGGACAAAATCCCTCCTGAGATGTGTGCAAACCTGGTGGCCAACTACAAGAAACGTCTGACCTCTGTTATTGCCAACAAGGGTTTTTCCACCAAGTACTAAGTCATGTTTTGCAGAGGGGTCAAATACTTATTTACCTCATTAAAATGCAAATCAATTTATAACATTTTTGACATGCGTTTTTCTGGATTTTGATGTTGTTATTCTGTCTCTCACTGTTCAAATAAACCTACCATTAAAATTATAGACTGATCATTTCTTTGTCAGTGGGCAAACGTACACAATCAGCAGGGGATCAAATACTTTTTTCCCTCACTGTATCAATGAATGCGGTTGTGTCGCTACGGTTCTCTGTGGTGAGTGGAATGTCTTTAAAAACAGCAGCGCTACACCTTCCTAAATAAAATTAACGCTGAAACGCTTGCGCATTTCCGAGATTCAGCATGAACGGTACTCACCCTGAAACTTAGAGACATCTCGGAGTCGGAAAGGGTTAGGAATTGTACATTTTTTTCCGTGCCAAATCTAGACATTTTATCAGTGACTCCCACAATATATGGGAGTTTTAATGTTTTGTTTGCATTAATTTCTTCTATTTGTTACCGGATTTGTTTTTAACACTGAATGATCTGTTGATTTGTGAATTATTAAATCCATTCAACTGTCACAATTGTTTCACATCTTTAATCTCAATCCTCTGACTTCCATTATCTGACACTGATTTTGCCCTATATTAGCATTTTTAAGATTATTTTCATTGTGGGCGATCGTGAGTATGATGCCGATTTGAAAAGCAGTATGTTTCTTTCGATAAATGCTTTGTGAAAATGCAACTAAAACGAACTCGCGTATATTGTGGGAGTCACTGATAAATTGGCGAGATGATTGGAAGAATACACAACAACTTTTAACTGGTACCAAGGATGGGCACTGCCCAAACTCATAACAGAAGGCGTTTATTGGAGTACTTGCTTGTGGCATATCGAACATTTCTTGTAAGCTACAATAAAACATGGAAATATTCACATCTATGTAATACTTCCTGCTTCATTGTAGATGCACATTGATGGAATCAAATTCCCTATTTAAGGCTAAAGGCTGGATGACATTTTCACAATACTAGCAACTGCCTGATGATGCTGGTTGTAAATATCAGCGACATTTTGTACCCATTGAAATGTTGTCAGATTACTCTCCATATACTCTTTAACGCACCTGTTTGCTATGGCAGTAATAAACATGACAACTTTATACATTGGCTGTGTCATGTGGACGAGAGTTTACAACAGATTTTTATTTTGTGATCTAACCTAATAAAAAAAAGTTATCTGCGGCTTGTCCGTTGGAATAGAAATAATCTCATTGCTAAAATGACCATGTGTGCTTCTCCATTTTCATTTCCTAGATTCCTAGATTGAGGCCTGCGATTTCCAAGAGATACTCAATCCCCTGAATAATGTGACCCAGCATGTAAACACATTTTGTTCAACATCACATGATTGCAATCCATATCGCTTGGTGAGTTACTTCTCTATTACACTCTGCATTAGTTGGCTCATTACTAGGCAGTAAAACCCTGCGGCTCTGCATATTATTACACGTTAAAGATGCGTGTCAATCGCACACAGTGAGAGTGCAGTCACATTACGCTCGCAACTAAAGAGCAGCTCAGTCAATCATCCCTATCCTTCACAGTAAAGTAATGCCACAGGAGGAGGTAGGGCCACCCAAGGAGGTGGGGCTTTACACTAGGAGATGGGCCACACTAAGAGGTGGGGAGTGCTAGGAGTCGCTCTCGGCACCTTTAGCCAGACTCCTCACCGATGTCGGGCAGCAGAGGTGTATACCCAACCTCAGCTTCCCCTCTCCGTGGGCCGCGCCCTGAACTCCTCAACCATGAGTCGAGGTCGCTGCAGTCTTCGCCATTGTCCACATATTGAAGCTCAGAGGGGATTATAACCCAGGTGTCCTGGCCAGCTCTGATGCGAGAGAGAACGTCAAACAGGTGAGAAACGTTCCTCTCGGCTATAGTCTTTGCAAGTTCCTTCGTCTTCTCATTGATGAACTGAGCCTCGTATCGCTCATACTCTGACTTGAGCAACGTGGAGCGATCCTTGAAAATCAGTTTCGTCGCAAGAAACATGAGGAGAAAATCCCCAGCAATAACAAATGTTAAAATCCAAGCTTTATCCTGAAACACAAAGAGAATAATACGTGCATTCAACATGTGGTGGGAAAAGGTAGCTGTCCCTTTTAACATGACCATATATGTCAGTTTTATACAAACATAACTGACAGTGGTGGTATTCATTTGCTTTCTATTGCCTGAAGCATCACATTGACAAATGGGTTTTATATAGTCAAATACAGGCAGACCTCGCCGAACGCGGGGGTTATGTTCCTGGAAAATGTCATGTTGGGCAAAACAGCGTTCAACAAATAAATATAATAGACCATATGGGAAAAACAGGGTTGCATTCCTGGGTCCGGAATTATCATCCCATCCCTCTGTTTAACTAACTATACACTTTCTGCTTTATTATTGTACAAAAGGATGCTTAGTCACTCTCCATTTCTTGTGCATGTGCACAATATTTTTCAATTTCACCTGAACACAAGCCCCTCTGTCTCCATTACTCTTCCTGCACCACGGCACTCACACCCAACACCCGCCCCTAAGACCGTCACTTGAACGTTAATGGTCCACCATCTAGGCATCCGTATAACTGACGTCAACGAGTGGATGGCTCTATGTATGCGTCAATGTGAACATTTGCGATGTCCTGTTGTGCGTGTTGAGTATGTCTTACATTATCATTAAAAAACACATACCCTTTGGTAAATAAATCGTTCAGTCAATTTTTTAACACTTTACAATGTATACAGCCCTCTCATGGCACAACTTTTCAACATGGAGATGAGAATAGTGGCAGCATAAAACTGCGCATAGCCAAAACATCACCCCGTGGTCCAGAAAACAGACATTAGGTCAACTGCGTATGGGCAGTCCTCAATTTATGAACATAATTAGTTCCCAAGAGCCGTTTGTAAGTCAAACGATTCATAAGTCGGAACACAATAATGTACTGTATTTAAATGTCCATATGGTCAGTGTTATGAAATGTGGTATGGTTTAACAAAAAAAGGGAAGCAGTTTACCTCGTAAAAAAGAGAAAATATTGTACTTTTGCATGTAATACAGGAAACCTTTTAGTTTCACGGGTTGATCATTCGCGGTTTCGACTTCTCGTGGGCAACCTCTTTACACACTAATTTAGTTATCGCGGGGTTAGATTTGGCCTTTCGTGGGTACATTGTACTCGGAAGTACTGTAGTGTTGGCTAGTACAGTGGTGTGGGGTAGGGTGAGGGATGCAAGACAGTTGTGGCACCTCGACCTTTTCCGTGCAAGCATCTTGCAGACAAAGACCCCTGTATAGCCTATTAACAGACTATTTGGGGCAAGTGCTGTTAGCGAGCACCTATGAAGGCCGGCACAGCACACGAGGGGGTGGGTGGCCAGCACTATGCCCAGCCACGTCTCCCCAGATCACACCAGGTACTCATTTGAGGCCGAGTCGACCGAGGTGAGGCCCAGGACCCATTCAGATAATCGTCACTGGTGTTGGGCATGAGCGCGAATCGAACTCGGGTCGCTGGGCTCATATAGCAGCACGCTAACTATTGCACTATCGCTCTCCAACAACAACCGCCATTCACCACAAAGTGGCGGTGACATCACCACGATGCTTGTGCCAGGCTATGTGCACGTTGAGGCTACGTGAAGTGTCGAACGCCCGCTGGAAGGAGGTCATGGGGCAGACCCAGGTGCCACGGGTCGACTGATTGAGATGACTAGCTGATGTACCACCTGTGCCCGCTACTGTGCCAACTCGCTGTGCTTTAGCCACCCAGCGCTCCGCTCGTTGTTGTGAGCGTTGCTCCTCCCCCCCCCCCCCCCCCCCGTTGTTGTTAGAGGGCGACTGCCTCCAACTGCCCAGTAGCGTCCTTCACGAGCCTCCTCCACAGAGGTCGATCTTGACACTGCTAGTACCAGTCATCGGCAAGTCCACTCAGCTCCACATCCTCCTGTACCACATCACTCCATATCTTCTCTAGCCCATGTCGCGCCCGTTTAGCCCCCTCGATCCGGCTGAACAAAAGCTGTTTAGGCATGCGGTGACTAGGCATGCGGGCTACATGACCCAACCGGAGGAGTTCTCCGATGGGACTTTATCCAGATCTTTCAAGGATATGTGAGCTCCTCACACAATCCAGCCTCGTTAAACCCAGGATGTATCGTAGGCAGGCCAGCCGCAATGTTTCTAACCGGCGAAGAGGTTCCATTAGGGGGGGTCCACGTTTCGCAAGCATAGAGAAGGGAGGGAATGACTGTAGCCGAGAAGACCTCAAGCTTCGTGCGGAGCGACAGACCAGGTAGCTTCCACACAGCGTTACGCAACCGATTAAAAGATAATGACGTTCGACTGATTGGGAGTGAGACCTCTGCTGTCAAACCGGAGCCGGTCAAGAACACACTTCCCAGGTATGGAAAACTCTCCACAACTGCCCTATCACCAATTGGGAGTTGTGGGGGTGGAGTGTCCGATAGTACAAAATACCTAGGCAGGTGCTTAGTTTTGGTGGGGCTGATGGTAAGTCCCCACCTCTTAGTGGCAAGCTCCAGGTTCAGCAGCAGCACCTCCAACTCCTCCTCTGAGTGAGCAGCAATTACCAGATCATCGGCAAACATAACATGGTTGAGCAATAGGGAGCCATCCCTTGACCGCACCCGGGCATCGATCAGCCTCCCATTGTATCTGTACCAGATGGAAACTCCTCCGGTACAGCTATTGAAGGCTTCATGAACTACGTTGGGAAAATAGATCTTAAATAATGTGGAAGCCAGAGGACATCCCTGTCGCACCACCAAAGTGAACAGGGAATGGCTCCAACTCCAAATCCACAGTTTTACCCGGGCCCGCTCACCATCATGAAGGTCCTTAATGATCATGAGCAGCGAATCAGGGACTCCGAAAGCACGAAGAACCCAGAGCCCAGGCCTCCTGATGGTATCACAGGCCTTGACCAGGTCAATAAAGCAGAGATGTAGGTCTTTTGGAATTCCCTACACCTCTGCTGTAGCAGATGGACAGAAAATATGGCATTTGTGCAGGCCCGCCCTTTCCTGAAACCACATTTGGGCTCCGAAAGCCTCTCCTCAGCGTGCCTGGCAAGACGATGTTGAATAATCCTTGCCAGGATCTTTCCCGGCACACTGAGAAGTGAGATGCCTCTGTAGTTGTTACAGTCTGTGCAGTCCCCCTTCTTAAAGAGGGGGACCCCCAGGGCATTCGTCCAATCCTGTAGAACCCATCCAGTGGTCCAGACTGTTGTTATGATGTCATGTAGGGCAGTCTGTGCACAAATGCCACCCTCCCTCAGCATTTCGTTTGGGAGATCATCTCTGCCCGGTGCCTTCCTGGTCTCAGGCTCTGGATCGCCTTCAGTACACGGGCAAACACACTCACTCTTATACACATGCACAGTTTCACACACATGTGCTCGCACACACAGACACACACACAGTGGGATGCTGGGGCTCATTACATCTTGCGGAGGATCGCTGCGCTGAATAAAATAGTTCCGCAGTTTGGTTTGCAAGCACGAGTTCGCCAGTCGGATGGTTAAAACAAATCTATATTATGGAAGCTCATTCGTAAGTGTGAATGGTCATAACACAAGTCGGGGACTGCCTGTACTCAATACTCAGCTCTGCTGCTGCATGAAAATGAGTTAAGAGATTTCCATGGGTCATCAGCATAATTTTTCACTAACAACACTGCCCTGGTTTATAAATTGGGCCAGGTGTCTGAGTGGCAGGGATCAGAGCACTGCGCTGAACTGGAAGATCCTGGGTTTGAATCCATGAAACGACCTATAATTACAATGGGTTATCTTAAGTTTAGTGAGTTGATGATCTCGGTCGTAATCAATGACTGCGCATTAAATGTGACAATAAATTTCGTGCACCACTTAATTTTCGTAAATTTCTACTCTTAGAAGTTAAAATATTAATTTGACTGTCAATCGACGAAAATCACTAACAGTGGCAGAGTGGGTAAGAAGGTGCTACCCCTTACTGTTTGGACCAGAGGTCACTTTAACAGATGTAAGAAATTTACGTGACATCGGCTGATTGCCTAATGCGAAGAATTGTACTGCACTGCACAAAACAGGGAACATTTGAGGACAAGACTAAAGAGGAAAATGTTCATGATTCTGTTAACGTGACTTTTATTGGATGTTTAAAGCAACTTTCACATCAACACTGTGGGGCCTTATCATCAGCTCCAAAAAAAAGCATCTGCCAGGGTATTTTGTGTCAAACACTTCACCTCCTCATCTGTTCATGAGTGATGGGGCAGTTATAGAGTGAGTGGAAGAGTTCCCATGCCTGGGTAGTGTGTATGACTAGTTCCGGTTTGCCAGTAGAGGTTTCATTCTGAATCAGTTGAGCAGCTTTATATTTTCATCAGCTGTGTAACGCTGCATAGAAGCTACCTGGCCTCTTGCTTCATATAAAGCTCCAGAGCTTCTCAGCCACAGTTGTGCTCTCCCTTCTTTACATTTGCGAAACCTGGACCCCTCTAAACGAGCATCTTCAATGGTTGAAACATTCCGGCTGGCCTGCCGACAATCCACCCCGAGTTTAACCCTGCTGGATTGTGTGAGCAGCTTGCAGATCCTTAAAAAGATTGGAACAATCTCATAAGTGCAGCCCGCATGCTCAGCCACTGTATGCCCAAGCAGCTTCTGCATAGCCGGATAGATGGGGATGGGCACGGCACGGACTCGAAAAGATATTGACTGATGTTGAACTGTGGGACGTGGAGCTAATTGTACTTGCCGATTACTGGTTCTAGTGGCATCAAGATCGGCCTCTGTAGAAGAGGTTCATGAAAGATGCTCCTGGGCAGTTGGGGGCAATCGCACTCCAGCAGCAAGAGCACGAAGGAATGAAGCTCACAACAATTAGCAGAGCGCTGGGTGGCTAAAATGAAGCAGGTTGACACAGTGGGGAGCACAGTTGGTGTATCTGCCAGTCATGAGTCAGTCAAACCATGGCACCTGGGTCTGAACTGTTAACTCTTGCCAGTGAGCCTTCGACACTTTACATGGCCTAAAAGTG